TTAGGAAGCTGGTGCAAGGGCTTCAACTTCCTCCCGCTGCCCAAACACAGGGAATTCCCACAGCATCTCCTGGAATTCCTTAATGAGGGGGAGGCAGTCAAGCCCTCTCCTCTGGTTTTAGTTGTGTCATCTTTTCACTGAGGCAGCAGGGGATGAAATCCTAGTAAGTTAATGGAAGCAGGGTGAGCTCTCAAGGTGGTGGAGGTCGGTGTGCTGTGGGACAGGCTGTGGCTTCTGCAGTGGCTCTTTCCGTGGTTCAGTCCATTCCTGGGGTTGTTTCTGGAGCTCAGGCTTGTGCCACACTGATTCTGCCTTTCCCTGAGCCTGCACTACCTGCATTCACAGCATCACCTGTCATTTATTCTCCAGGATTTTTTAAGCGCTTTCTCGATCCGTTAGGTGCAGCCACTTGCACGTTTGACACTTCCTACCCATACCTGAGAGGAAAAGTATTTCTCTGTCAGTGTAGAAATATTCTCCATGTGAACACTGGCTCCTGCAGGCTGCAGCTGACCTCCCCCTCTAATCTACAGTGGTGCATCTTGGCAGAAATGTGCTTTACACGCTGACTCTAAGCCCTGGAACAAAGCTGACTTTCCAGGGAGCTGTTCTTCCCTGCACTGGCACACAGCCTGCAGAGAGCTGAAGCTCCTCTTCATCTGCCTTATTCCTCTTTCTCCTTGGAGCTCATCTGCTGTGCTGCAAGACACTGACTCAAGTGAACATCAACTTCACGCAAACTGGTGAAACCCACGGCGGGAGCTTTTTGCATCAATTTACCAGATTTCGGGTGGGATGGGAATTCCTGGGTGTGCAGACTTAGTTCCCTGCCATGCCCTCTGCTTTCCCCATCTCCCCAAAAGGGATCCCCGTGAGCCAGCCCAGTACCAAAAAGACCTAATGGCCCAAAAAATGGATTCTTCTGCCCGCAGGGGAGGACGCAGAGTTTTAGTTTAGAATCAGTGGCCTTCAAAGGACACAAATTACAGCCAACAAAGGAAAACTCTCCAGTAGAAAACCACACTGAAAAAGGATGGAAAAGGCAGCTTGGATTTAGCAAAACTTGAGGCAGACTGCCCTGATGCCAAGTGTGATTCCAATGCCCAAATCACTCATTCTCTTTACCTACGGAGGGTGCTGCTTGGCTCTTTAATAACTCCTCAACAATGAATCAATTCTTGGTTTTGGAGAGTGTTGTATCGGGCTGGACCAGATTTAATCTTTGGTTAAGAGTTGATACAGAGCCAGGTGAGTGTGGATGTTGCAGGTTGCCTTCACTGTGCAAACATGTTGTAGCAAAGCAGTGCAGAGCATTCTAGTCCTTTGGAAAACTCCCTGAGTTTGCAGTTCAGAGGTGTTTTCAGGAGTGAATTCTGTGCTGGAGAGAGGGGTGGACACAGGAGAAATGCAGCATTAGCTGAGGCATCCCTTCCTTCTAGGTGAATCATTTACCTGGAATATCTTAGTTCTAGATCACTGTGTTACAGGGACACAAAGCCTGAGAAGTCCAAGGACAGTTTCCTTTCCTCCTCATCCTGGCCTTCTGCTCCCGGCCAGATCAGCACTGCTGATGGTGACAGCAAAACTGGGAAGAGGAGCCAGGGGCAGAGGGCCAGGAGCTGGCAAAACTGAGCCACCTGCTCTCCTCCCACCTTGTTTGCTCTTGTGAAATGGCTGCTGCTGCGCTGGGGACTGTCACTTGTGTGCAAAGTGCGTGAACGTGGCACGGGAACGGAGTGTGCCTGTTGTGTGTTCACACACGTGTGCATCATACAGCCCCAGCCAGCTCATGGGGAGCAGGAGTGGATAAAGGGTTCGGCTGACCAGCTTAATTCCTTTGTTTTCCTAGAATTTGGCATAATCCCGAGTATTCCTCTTCACCTTAAATCCTGCTTGCTCTGGGGGAGGGAGCACCGTGATGCACAGTTGCTTTGTTTAGACTGGGAATTCCTCGCTGGAGAAGCGAGGAGAGCTCTGTGCCTTTGATTGTTGTGCCAGTAATGCCCCTGGCACGGCGTTCCCTGGCACTGGTGTAAACTGGGAGCCCTGCTTTACAACAAATCCTACCAGTAGGGCATCCTGTGGCACCTGCAGAGCGCTGGATCACCTCTCAAAGGATTTGTTCTGTGAAGAACTTACTTGGGCTGGATTTAATCTACTGTCTGGATGCTCTTAGGATGCTCCAGTGTGTCCTGCCGAGCTGCTTGTGAGTGCCTGCACATGAACCAGGCAGAGGGCAGGGTTTGGCATCGTCCTCCCTGACCCAGTTGACTTGCACTGACCGAATCCATCAGGATCTGAGCGCTCCCAGTGGCCTTTCAGCTTGCAAGGACCAACCTCTGCCTCAGCGACCCCAAACACGTGCCTAAAATGGATGTAATTCCTCTCCTTATTCCTATGTCCAGCAGCTGAATACCACGAAATCCTGATTTACTAAAATAATTCCCAGTCTCTAAATGACTCCTGTAAAGCAACTTAAACCAGCTGTAACTGGGAGAGTTCTTTAAATATTTGCAATCCAGGCTTGGCATGGGGCAAACTGTTCTTATAGGGAAGAATTTAAGACATTTCCATTACTTCCTATGGGATTTCAGAGGTCAATTTGGGGCTGTGTAGGAGGGAAAAGGTTAGAAGCTAAGTCAGTGGCTTACAGAAGTGTGGTGGTGATGGGTGTATTTCCCTGTGCACAATAATGGTGGTTTGGGTTTTTTTTCCCTCCTTTTTATCCTTATTTTCTGCTTCCTACAAAAGGAGCTTTGGCTTAAATCCCTCTGCCCCAACAGAGCATTTTCCAGGCGCTCTCAAGGCACAGACCAAGTTCCTCTTTTCATACCTGATAGCCCAACTTTTTAGTTTCTCTTTCTTTAGCTTTGAAGCTCCTCCTGCCACTCGAGCTCTCAGCCATTTGTTTGGGGCCTGGAGAGGTGTCAGCAGCATCCTTTGCCCTCGTGCACAGCGTGTCTGCAGCTTGCACTGGCGCTGCTCCCTGTGGATAAATGCTTCACCTGGGAAATAATGGCTCAGAATGCTGCTGCTCTCTGGTCTCAGCTGCTGGCAGATGGAGTTGGGGATCATCTGGTGATCCCAGTGCAGTGGATGATGCTCTGTGTGGTGTTAAATCACTGCTTTGATGCGAAGTTTTTGTTGCCCTGGTCTCTCCTCCACTTAATCTGCAACCAGCTGGTGATGAAGTGATGTGGGTTTGTTTGCTTGTTTTTTCTTAATTGCAAGAAGTTGCTGCCATCCAAAAATTGTGTTTTCTTGGCTGGGTGGTTTTCTCCTCCAAGCCCTTTGGGCTCGTGTTTCTCATCTGTTTTCAGCCCACCCCTGGGTGAGCAGCAGCAGTTGTGGTGGGTCAGCACCAAACATCAGAGGCTCCTCCTGTGCACAGCCCAGGCTATTAAAACGTGTTAATTTATTGCTGTGGGGAGTGAAGTCAGCTTCAGGGCACGTTTCAAGGGAACTGCCTCTCCCCAGTGTAGGAGCAGCGACTTGCAGCCGCCAGACCTTTCCCAGCTTGTGTCTTTTAATCAGATGTGCTCAGCTGGGTCCAAGCAAACCACCAGATAGTCCAGATTTGAGGCAAAAATACCTGTCTTCCCTCTCATTTAAGGAGCTTTTTTCCAAGCAGTCTCAACACTGAGGCAAAGGGGAGCTGCCCCATTCTTTTTGAGTTGAGTGTCCTAGACATATAAAGGAGAAGGGGTAAACAGCTGCAAGGAGCATGTCAATTTTTCAGAAAACTGAAGCTCCCATTTAGCACAAGTGCCCTCAGTGTGAGTGGTCCTTGCTAGGTCAGTACCAGTGAGGGCTCAGCATGAGGATGGAGCTGTCCCAACCAGGGTGTGCATCAGCCCGGGGTATTATCTGCTGATGAAGAGGCAGGGCGGTTGCTCTTAATCCAAGCAGAATAATGTGCCTGAGAGCTTAATTCTCTTCGGGAAACAAACAGAGATGCCTCGGTGCCAAGCGTCCTTTGGGACTGTGCAAATGTTTGAGGGGGGTTTGGCCCCCCGAGCTGGGCAGGCTGGGCAGCGGGAGCGCTGATGGTGCTGGGCAGCGTTTTGCTCTGATGTACGTAGCAGGGGGAGAGCTGGACAGCTCTGGTTGAGAAAAATAACCGATTATAATTTGGCTGTGGGTGGGGAAAAGCCAGTCCTTGCCATAGGTGCGGGATTGCAGAGCAGGGGCAGGTCTGGCTCCTCGGCGGGGCTGTGCCGGGCTCCTGGGGGGGGATTTCTTGTTGACCAAGTGCTCCCCATTTCAATTATCGCTTTTTTTTTTTGGCTCGCCATCCACGGACTGAGGCAGTACCTGAATGGCCTTATGCTTAAAAAAAAAAAAGAAGAAAGGATTAAAGAATATAGTAATAGCCTAAAGAACACCCCGACGCCCCCGCTCATTTCTTCCATCCCTCCCACCTCCTTCATCCCGCCCCCCCTGCGTTCATCTCCCCCGGGTCTCCCTGCAGAGCTGGGCTACAACTTTCTCTGGGAGACAGCGAACTGTATTTAAAATCTAGGTCAGGGAGGGAGGGGGAGTGGTACCGGCGGGCAGGGCCCCTCCTTGCCCCGTTCCTACCGGTGCCGTGCGGCGCCAAACCATCGCCCCCCCCCCCTCCACCATCGGTTTACCGGGAGGGGGTGTTGTCGGCATCATTTCAGCCTCCCCTCGCAGGGGTGCGTTTGTGGCGGGGCTGAGCGAGGCGGGACCGGGCGGTCCCTCAGGGCCGCCCGCGGGAGGGAAACGTGAAGGAAAGGAGGGGGGGAGCCATGAGGGGGCGCGCGCCCGCTCCCCCCGCCCGCCCCGCCGGCCGCGGGTTCCCCTCAGCCAATGGCGAGGCGGCGCTGGCGCCCCGCCCACCACCCCGGACCAATGAGAACTTACTACAGTGTTGTGGGGGGGGGAGAGGCGGGGCCGCGCGGGGCTGGGGGGGCAGAGCCGCGGGCGGGCGGCGGCGGGCGCAGAGCGGCGGAGCCGGACGGGGAGCGCGGCGAGAGGAGAAGAGAAGCGGCGGGGCTGGGCTGGGCACGGCACGGCACAGCCCCCGGGGTGAGGGGCCCGGCACCGCAGCGCGGGGCTCTGCGGGGCCCGGCGTGAGAGAGGGGCGGCGGGCGCCGCGCGCGCGCGCGCGGGGGCGGCCGGGTAAGTGCTGCGCGGGAGCGCGCGCGGCCTTGGCGCGGCGGGTCCGTGTGTCTGCGTGTCCGCCTGTCCGCCGGCGGCGGGGCGGTGCGGCCCCCTGCGCGGGTGGGCACGTGTGCGTGCGCGTGTGCGGTTGTGCGCGGGGTGCGAGTGCGAGAGGTGCGTCTGTGTCCGCGCCGGGTGCCTGTGTGTGTGTGTCTGTGTGTCTGTGTGTCTGTGTGTCTGTGTGTCTGTGTGTGTGTGTGTCTGTGTGTGTGTGTGTCTGTGTGTGTGTGTCTGTGTGTCTGTGTTCGCACTGTCTGAGCTCCGAGCCCCTGTGCGGGTAAAGGATGCGGGTGCGTGGGGTGCTGGGGGATGCACGCGTGGTCTGCACGGGCACCGCGCGTGTGTGTGTTGGGCATGGGGGGGTGTGCGGTGCGGCTGCTGCGGGCTCTGCGTGTGTGTGCGCGGTGTAGCTCTGTGTGTGTGTGTGCCTGGTGTGTTTGCACCAGGTGGGTGTTTGCACGGTGTATCTGTGTTTGCATGGCATGTTTGCACCGCGCGCGTGTGTACTCTGTGTGTGTGTGTGTGTGTGCACACTGGGTGTTTGCGCGGGGTATGTGTGTCTTTGCATGGTGTATCTGTGTTTGCACGGCAGGTTTGCGCTCTGTGCGTGTGCACGGTGTGTCTGTGCGTGGTGTATGCGTTTGCACTGTGTGTGTGCACCGCGTATCCGTGTTTGCACTGTGTGTGTGTGCACAGCTCGTGTGTGAGCGCTCCCTCCGTGTGTCATGGAGAACTGGAAGCCGAAAGGCTGAGGCTCAGCCCGAGGCAGATCCTGCAGGAGCCAAGAGACAGGGATAGCAGGATGGGGACAGCGCAGGGGAGCCGGCACCCAGTCACTGGGGCAGGAGGTGCCTGGGGGCTGCCGTGGCCGAGCCGGAGTCCCCAGCTCTGCCCGGAGTCCATTGTGCAGGAGGAGGAGGAGGAGGAAGGAGACATGGCGGGGAAGGGCTGGCGGGGAATTGCTCTGGGCTCTGTAAGCCCACGGGGACCTGCTCACGCACCCGTGGGACAAACGTGGGTGCCGTGGTCTGGCAGCACCAGCCAGGTGAAAGCTCTTTCCCGGCCGTGCATCCCACTTCCCTCTGAATTCCAGCTCAGGAAAACACCTCAGCCGGCTGGGAAGCGACACTCTCCAGCTAACAGGATTTTCCGCCAAGGCATATTTTTATTTCCCATCTCCAGAGGGGCACCGTTCGCAATGAAAACAGCTCCAAAGGGTCTGGAATGAGTTAAAATCCACCTCGACCGCCTCTGTGAGTGCCGTGGCTGCAAGTGTCCCGGGCCCTCGCTTCCGTGTTTCTTGGGGAAACGGAACTTGCTCCCCCTTTGTGCGCCCAGAGGGCTGTGTGTGGTTTGGGGGGGTTGGTTTTGGGCGGGGGCCGACGGCCCTCCCTGCTGGGGGTGTGTAAATGGTTATTCAAGAATTGCATGCTTGGCAGCAAAGAGAAAATATCTTAGAGATGGTCCAGATCCTGGGGCAGGTGTTGTGCTGGTTCGGTTATATTTCTGTGTGTTATAATTTAATTAAGGTAGTGGAGAAGCAAAGCAAAATAGGTCCCTTCCAACGCAAACTATTCCATGAAAATCTTATTTCTGAGCAGCACTACAAGCTCAATTTTTGCCTTACCTCGCTCTTTCTATTTAGTATCTTAAGCCTTCAAAACACGCTGGGTTTCATTTGCCTTAGTTTGGTAGATCTGGGGGGATGGTCTTTGAATTAGTGATTATTCTTACTCACAGTTGAGTAAGAATGTAAAAATAATCCCTGTAAGGTCTCAGGGGGTGGAGGACACTCCTGGTCTGGATGGGGGATGCAGAGGGGCTCTGCCCCGGCCGCTGTCGCTGCCCTGGTGCCGCGGAGTGCAGTTCCTTTCACAATAAGCTGACTTGTGTGTTGCTGCTCCCTTTGCTTCAAAGGCTGCTTTAAGGAGGTCCGAAGTAGGTTTTTTTCCTTTTTTAATGGCTGGTCCAACCGTATTTTTAATGACTTGAAGCTTTTCCTGCAGCGTTGTGGTGGTTGTTAAGGGCTGTCCTGCTCGCAGTGTGTGTCTCGTGTCAGTGGTGCTGACACACTTGATGTTTATATTTTGCATCGTGCCAGCCCCTGGCATCCTCAGCTATGTTTCTGGGATGATTTGGAGCGTTGGGTGTGATTCAAAAGGCAGTGGGGTCCTTTGCATATCTCTGCTGCCATGGCCTTAATAAAGAAGGTGAGGATTTTCTAGGATTCCCATGGACAAACATAATCTGCTGTGGAAGGTAAATATCGGGATAAACATAGCGCTCCTTACCGTGAAAACTCAATTAGAGCCTTATGAAACAGAGAGAAGGATGATTATTTTTCCCCTAACATAAACACATTCATTATTTCCTCTACCAGTTTAGATTAGGAGAATGGAAATTACCAGTGTTTTCGTCTGATCTCACAATTGCAATTTGAAACAAATAAGATTATCAGAGGCAAAGCGTTCGCAGGGAAAGCAACACTCCCGAGGAGGGAGGACCATTCTCGGCCTGTTTCCAAACACTGTATGTTCCCAAAGCCTAAAAAAAAATGCTTCAAACAGTGATACTCCAAACCTACAGCTCCTGGCTCTGGCATCTCCCTGCCAACTGCCCTCGCTCCGCATGAGCGGCCACGGGATTTTTCACTTGACAGCGTTTGATTTTCAAAAAGTGGTAAAACATGTCTCTCCCGACGCCCCATTTACTGCTTGTCGAGCAGATATTAGAATGGATGGGAGGTGGGGACCTGGCTTCTCTAGTGAGCAGCCAACCACCCCTACAAATTCATTCATTAGCCATCAGAGTGTTGCTGTGCCGGGGTAGCTTGCAGGGATGTTGGGATGCTCCGTGTGCTTTGATATGTTGATGGCAGGATGATGATGATGTGAATGTGGTGTGTAATGTGCTGGAATAAAGTTGTGTGTACAGAGGGTTGCTGATTGAAAGTAGTGGCTCTGTGCTGTGTTTTCACCAGGGGTTATTTCGCATCTCAAAGGAATCTTGGATTTTTGGGGTCAGCAAGTGAACCTCCTGCTGTTCATCCTCGGGGCAGTTCAGTGGAGGTGTTGACTGTGTATCCACAGCATTTGGCTAGGAGTTTCTCCTCAAACACCTTTCCTTGTGTTCTCCAGTGAGGAGTGTGTGCTGAGAGGCTCTTCATTTGTCAGTACCAGTTCCACTGCAGAGCAGGTTTTTTTCAGCCCCTTACTGCCATATTGCACCTATTTCTTGGAAGAAGCCTGAGAAGTCAGTGATCCTCAGAGATCTTGTGCCCATGGTGGGTGGGAAAGCTCTGGCTCTCCCCAGGTGCCTGAGTGAGGGATCCCTGCTCCCAGTGGGAGCTTCCCATCCTGCTGTGGATGGAGGCATGTGTGGGGCTGCAGTGGGGAGCTGAAGCTTGGCTTGTGTTGATGTGCCTCACTGGGTCAGTGCCTGGACTTGCTGGAGCTGCTTTTACATCCCTGGGAATAAGCTGTGATGAATCAGAGGTGTTGCTTTAATAGGGGAGTCTGAGGGCCCTGCAGCAGCCCCATGGATGCAAATCATTTCCTACCATCAACCTGACTTTGTGCTTTTGAACTCCTGGCTTCTCCCTGCCCGTGGCTCTCCCTGTGCAACTTTCCTGGAGCGTTAAGAAATGGCAGCTGCTCAGGTTGTTCAGGCTCCAAGCTGCGTTTTGTTGCTGTCCTGCATCTCTCTGGGGAAGCTCCAGAGAGCTTTGCATCGTGAGTGGAAATTGCACCCTGGGCCTGGGGATCTTTTGCAATGATTGTTCTGCTTTCTTGGTGCTTGGCTTTTGCTGTAATCCTGTGTAGATTAAGCAGAGGGCTGTACGTAAAGATTTCTCTTTATATGTCTCATCTACTACTGTTTTGATCAGTATTGTGGTTCCTTAAGTTGCAAAGAGCTGTAGGATGCTGCATAGCAGGGATTTATCTCTGCCCATCGGATGGATTAGGTAGGAATGTTCATGGCTTGTACTTAATCCAGATTAATATTATTAGTTTCTTTACGTTCAGTCGGTTGTTTACGCTTGTTTTTCTGTTTATGTGAATTTCTGCTTTTGTAATTCCCCTCACATTGTGTATTAAAAGCAAATGCTTTTAATTTCTCCATGTAGATGAACTAAATCTCTTTTTTTTTTTTTTTTTTTTTTTTTTTAAAGCAGTTCCACAGAGAGGAAAATTGTGTGGGTTTGGGGGGTGTGTCCAGGCAATTGTACTCTTCCAGGGCACGCTCCTGCAGACCCTGCTGCATTTCTGATCCGGGCTTTTCAAACAAATTCCCATGCCAGCCTGCTTTAGCTGCTGTGCTCAGAGCAAACATCGACAGCAGTGGGTTGTGATTTATAATTTATAAAGCCTCACAGCACTTGAACTCTGGTGCTTTTGGAGGGGACCGAGGATGTTGTACCTCCCTGATCTCAGTGGAGAGCCTGAAAGCTGTGGGAAGAAGAGCAGCTCTGGGAGCTGTTTCTCCTTGGGGTGATGGGAGAGCTCCGTCGTTCGGTGCTTCCCTCCCACACACACATCTTTGGGGAGCAGCCCAGTCCATCTGCTGGTGAGCGTGAGTGCCATGGGATGTCAGCCTGGCTTCCCAACAGGGTCACACCATGGAATAACCCTCCTGAGGAAACCTTGGAGCCCAGACCTGGGGAGGAGCTTCGCTCTGCCCAAACCGAGTCCTACTCACACGGGATCAGCTCAGCCCGAGTTGTAACTGCAGCAAACACACCGTGGCTGGAGCTTGGGAATAGGGACACTGTTTGGAAGCAGCAGGAGAAGAACTGGGCTAGTTAGCTGTTTCTGTGAAAACCACAATTCCTTTGAACCCACGGGTCACCGTTTGTAGGCTGATTATTCCCCCCCTTCCCTGCCCCACGTAAGGCGCGTGTGTGAGAGAGATAATTAAAAGCTTTTAGTTAAATAAATAACTAAGCTGCTCACGCGGCT